ATTGCTGAATGAGGTCAGGCTGTTGTAATTTTTCATCGACTTGCTATTATATCACTCATTAGTGCAGTATGTACATTGTCCCAGCATCTACCCCCCAATTTTTGCGGAACAAACCCTAACAGTTGGAAAGAGGAATATTATAATGGGAAAAGAAATAATATAATTTTATAAAAATCTTCCTATTAAAATGTCTCACACAAATGAGTATTCAATTTTTTTGGGGCTGCCAAAATTGAAGCTTTCAAATAGTAGTTTTGTGCCAGACAATTTGTCCGAGTTCTCGAATATAGCAAAATTCAGTAGCTTTTCAAAATGTGTTAGAGATTTACAGCTTTTCATTTATCATGCTTTCCCCTTGAAGGGTCATGTAATTTGCCTTAGCTTTTTCAAATGTTTCATTTTAATACAGCAATACGGCATCAATGCCATTGCTGCTTCTACAGTATGTTACGTGGTCAGCTGGTAATTGATAAGATAAGCGCAAGAAGTGATAGCTGTTTCCGAATCCGAAAATAAGGAGATGCACCTTATCGCCGAAAGGATTGCTGTGCATTTCTCATCGTTTTTTTTTCGTGGTATTGTGGTATCCAGTAATGCCTTCTATTTTGAGCGCTGCAAACGTGACAGTCGGAACCTCGTCAGTGCACCTGATAGAACAGAGTTGACCGCGGTTTTAGGCCGATATCAGATGTATGACCCCTGCCCTATGAACTCCGATGGTATTAGTAATACAGGTGTTCAACTTCACAGAATTGGTACACTTCTGAGCGCGAAAGACAATATGCCAAACGTGCTTCACATAGAGGGTGGTCAAAACGGCTTTTGCGCAAAGTTGCTTTTGAATGAAGAGCTATTAAAAACACATTTCAAGAACAGCGGGCTTTTTTCACCATGATCGTATAACACGACATTCCTTGCATGACTCGGCCAGTCGAACGTAGATGCCTCAAAGAAGACATGCATCAATTCAGGCGACCTTGTTCCTTCATGGCATGGTTAACGGTAAAGGTTATCGTAAATGAAATGAGGTTTGAAGGACCTAGGGAGAGTCGCTCGAAGCTTTCCAGAAAGGCTTCAACTGAGACCTCCCTACTAGGCGGATTACTTATCGCATACATTTGTACTCGTTGCTGGATTTTGTTAAAGAGAAGGTGGCGCTTACTTGTTCATGTGGTAGAGTGCGGTGCAACTTACCCGGAACTGGTAAATATTGAGTCGAAAATATCCACATCCAATGCGATTATTTTGATCGATCGAGCATCCTTTTGGCACGCATCCAGAATCCGCGTCACACATCGCTAGAAGACACGCATTCTCCGAATCGACTGAAACAACAAATCATTTGGTTCGCCGAAGATTTCTTCGAAATTATTGGGCTATCAGAAAATAATAATAAATTTCTTTGGCCGTATTTATAGCATTTACTGGATCTGTTTACCAGGAAACGATTGGTTATGGAAATTTGACCTTATTTTGGGCAGATGCTTGAGTGTTTTTTGATTTTGGTAATTTTTCAATGTATCGTGCGAGTAGAAACGAACGTTAATGAGCGAACCTCTGTCGAACATGAGCAAAGAGTGGCTGACTCCAAGAATTGCAAACACGGCAAATTCGGCGAGCATTTCCAGCTAACTCATGGAGGAAACATTGGCATTAGCCAGTTGAAGGATGATTGAAATCTAGTCCAGTGGCCAGCGGAATATGGCTGAAAAGTGGCCAAGTTTCTAATATTGATCGAAACCTGGGTGGCAGCAGTGTACAGTGTAAGACAAACTGAGCGCTACGGTCACGTGGACGAGTTGTGATACCCTAAACAGGAAGAAGACAGAGAAAGTGTGACCACGTCTGGGAGCTCAAAGGCCGCCGCCTGGCTGTTCAGACCACGCCCATGGTGGAGACTCAATAGTGAATGACGCCGAGGACCATCAATTCACCTAACGGCTCTGACGTCAATGGTTCGAAATGTCCCGATTTAGACTGGAACCTGCTGCACTTCCATATTTGTCGCGGTCAGTGCACACCATTTCCGGCTGGCTATACGAGCGGCATCGGCGATGCACTACGCTAAGCCTTTGAAGCGACGTTGGCGTCACATGGGAATCAAACACTCTTTCTTATCAGTAACGGTAAGCACGAGGGCGAGAATCGCCACTACGGCGATTTGTGTACAGTTTATGGCAAATAGTGCAGTGCTGTAGTGACCGCGAAACAAAACAAATACGAAACAATTACTTACATGTTACTTGAAAAAAGGTACCAAACAGTAGGATTCGTAGCGCACTCTTACGAGACACGTTTTTTCGCTGCCTCACAAGAAGCTATAAGCAGCCAATAGCCGCTGAAATGCTTTTAACAGCTCCTTACGAGATTGTAATAATGGATTCTAATTCAGTTCCAATGGCTTCTAAGAATGATTCTTCACAGAATTCATTCCATAAGGCCGGCTGATAGTGGGTTACAATTGGTCGTAGATTCATAAGGGCCGTTGAAAAAGCTCCGTTTTCCGTGCAGAGCAAATTGTTACGCTTGAAGAGATCGTTATCATTATTTGGATTCATTTTTTCCTTCTTTTTCTTGTCACCCAGACCCTAATGCCCATATGATTGTATCTCTTCCAGGTGGCTCCGACAACATCCACAAGTTCTTGCTCTCCCATGGAAACCGTCTGTTCGAAGAGCTGAGCGATCGAATGCCATCGACGTGCTGTGCTCAGGTGTAATTGGTGATGAGGTTCGTTGGTGGCCCTTTACTTATCTGTAGATATTTGTGTGAGTTTGTAGATTCCGCGCAAGTGATTCTTTAGCTGGATCGTTCTGATTTTAAATGGTTGCTGAAATGGCTCTGGTGTTTATGTAGTTCGAAAGCGTATTATTTAAAAAAATTGGGTGCGCAATGTGGAATAAATTAAGCGAGGGCAAAGTTATTGCTGTATTTGTCAGCTTAGGCACACTCGACCTTGATCTTGGCTGGATGCGCCACGCATTCTGTTTCCATTCGGAATCGTTGTGGCATTTTGGATGTGGCTTGGCCTATACAATGAAACCGCAAAGTTAAATCGTAAAGTGTTTTGATGATCCGAAACAGTGCCGTTGCCAGTTAAGCGACTCAAAAGAATTGGAAAGCTCTGTTCCCTCGGACAGTGTACGACGCAGGATTTCCTTATTGGACCGTGCGCATGGAAAACAGCGCCACTTGCCGCTATACCATTTCTGCCCAGATGCAATTTATCCATCGGAATCATCTTAGTTGGAAATTCAAGGACAAATATTATAATACTTCCATTAAGTAGCCTAATACACTAACCATAAGCTAAAAAATGATTACATTCGCTGCCTCACTACGGACCTCTCTGCGTGGTGGCGCGGGACAAATTCCGGTCAGGAAGGCTGAGTTGGATAAGTTGCTTGTAAAATCCGATCAATTTTGACTTTGAGCCTACATACGTGGACACGCGGTGGGTTGAGAGCGACCTCTACAGTGACAGGTAAGGAGAAATCGGTAACGGTAGCAAAAATTGCTAAGAAAAAAAAAACAGGTTACGTAATCACTAGGAGATCACAGAGCAGCGGTAAGTAAGGGATGATAAGGTGTATTTCTTCAGGCTCAGTATGAAACAAAACGACGCGATTTGGGCGTTGCTGGTTATTTGGGATAAATTGCAATAGTTGCTTGCTGTTATACATAG